TAGTTCAGTGTATTTATTAATAGTCAGTGTCTTACCTGCTATAGAAGTGATTATGACTATTAGTTTGTCAAGCTGATGCGCTCTCAAGAGAAACAAGCTGACAAGTCAGAGTTCAGCCATCTTAAAATAACCCTAATCTCTAAAATCTTGTGGAAGTTTAAACGAGTTTTATAATCTTGACACCTCCGTCACTTTGATCCGATTTTTGTGTTGTTTTTGTGTTTTTAGTTTCTTAACAAAGGTTTGTTGACATCTAACTGCATCACTATAATAGTGTGAATGTTTATGAAGCATTCACACTATTGTGATCCATTTTTCTTCCGTACGTTTTTCGGCATCTTTCATGTTCCACAATTTTTGTGCTACTTCAACAAATCATATCAAAACCTTCAGCTCTTTCAGGTTATGACTTTTGGTATTGGTGCAACTTTAGCTTTTTGAAATATTTAGCCTTTTCTGACATTTTTTTGTCCTTCTTCTAACTTCTTTCTGCTAATTTCAGCTTGTTATGCTCTTTTTTTGCTTATATATTTAAGTTTCATTTTTTTCTGCTATTTCAGCTACTGTTTGGCAGTTTTATGCTTGTTTTAGCTTTTTCAGCTAATTCCACGTTTTTTTGCACTCATTTAAACTTTTTCAGACTAATTCAGCAAAAATGTGCTCTCTCAACTACCATCTGGTAATGTAAGCTTCTTTCAGCTTTTTTTTAACTACTTTTCAGCTGATTTTTGTTGTTAATTTAAGCTTTTTTCAGTTAATTTCCAGTTTTTTTGGGGGCCAATTTTTGCTTCTTTCAGCCTAATTGGGCACAGTTGTGCTCTCTCCACTTCCTTTCGGCAGTTTAAGCTTCTTTCTATCTGTTCAGCTACTTTTCAGCTTTTTTTGTTGTTGCTTAGGTCAATTTTTTTAGCTAATTTACACATTTTTGTGCTCATTCCTGCTTATTTAAACCAAATTCAGCAAATATGTGTTCTTTCTGCTTTTGTCTTTTGCTTGTTCTTCCTTTTCAGCTACATTTCAGCACGTTTTAGGTAATTTTAGCTGTTTTTCAGCAAGTTCATTAGCAATTGGCATTCACACTGCATTTTCGCAGGAAATGCAATTTCTCTAGTTTCTCAGTCTCAGTCAGAATCAAAACATTCAGCTCATTCAGGACAACAGACGACAACAGGGGAGTGGTGGCGCAGAGGTTAGAGAAGGTGGGCCTGTGATCGGAAGATCAGGATTGCCGGTTCAAGCCCTGGTACCGACGATATCAAAATTGTGGGTGGGGTAGGTGAAGCACCCACACCTGCCCCCACCCTCACTCGTCCCACTCTGGGCCCATGAGCAAGGCCCTTAACCACCATCTGCTCCATAAACAGGTCTCTCTTGAAAATGAGTTCTCGTGGCTCAATGAGACTACCTGGATAAATAAAGGGTAAATGGAAAAACAACATGGCTAAAACTTCAGTGATTAAGAACTTTCCCAGTTTTTGAAATATTTACTTTACTTATATTTTTCATATAAAAACATTGGAGTTTCTTCAATAGTAGCTTTTCAGTACCTTTTCTACTAAATGTAGCTTGTAGCTACTCGTCACCTTTTTAGGTTTTAAGTATTGTTCTGATAATTTCAACTGCAAGCTACTTTTTAGCTAGGTATGACTTTTAGCTACTGGCTTGACAGACTGAAGAAGTCTTCAGAAAAAAAAAAGACGAAACGTTTCTACATTTTTTTAGTTTTACTTTGTTTTATTTTTTGAATGTTCAGAGGACCAGACTTAACTTTTTTAGATTTTTCTACCTGGATTATTGAGCATGCATCAGGATACTGGTTCGATCGTTTTAGCTCATTGCTACTGTGATGCTGGGTTTAGCTTTCAGCTTTTTTTAATTTTTGGATTGTTTTAGCTTTAATAATTTGAACAGACAGTGAGGACAGGAAAAGGTCCAGTCCATACTAGTCTGAATATTTTTGAAAACAGAGAAGTTTTTATGTGTTTTCACCTCCTGTCTACACATGAACAGTCTGGTGAAAAAAAAAAGTGATTCTTTTCAAGGTGGAGATTTGAAAAACCTCAGTTTTTGATGGATCCTCTGTGGATTGATAATAAATACCTTTTCAGAATCAACGGTGCAGCAGCCGATGTTTCCACATCATTTTATGTCATAGAAACCACAACAAGAGCTGTTTTTACCGACTTTTACCATTCTTTTCTTCATGTGTCTCCCTTTATTCAATTCCTGTCACCATTAAACTTTAATCATGTGATGAAAAGGTTAATAACTAAAATAAAATTGTAACTGTGTTGGAAAACCAACATATAAACAAACAACAACAAACAAGCAACACTTGTTTTGAGAACCTTTTGTTGCCAAATAAAATATGTTTTCTCTGTTTAAATACTTTGTATGTTGTTGATGTGAACATTCTCGCCACCGAGTGGCATGGTTACTTTTATATATTATTATATTGTTTTATATATAAGTTGATTTCAGATCGTTGCTGGTGAAGCGCCACAGCTGACTCATTATTTTTACCGTAAATAACCATCTAATGCTAACGTGACGGGAGATTAAGGTTCATAAAGCAGCACAATGCGCTGTAAACTTTTCCAGACTGTAGTAAGATGTCAGAAATGTGACAAATGCTCAGAACACTTTCTACTGCAAGATACTGATTCCTGATGACTCCATAGGAAAAAAAAACAAATTACTGTATTTTTCGGACTATAAGGCGCACTTAAAATCCTTTAATTATCTCAAAAATTGAAAGTGAGCCTTATAATTCGGTGCACCTATTAATTCTGGTTGTGCTTACTGACCTCAAACCGATTTTATGTGGTACACAGTAGGCCCGTCACGATAAAAAATTTTGCTGGGCCATTAATTGTCTCAGAAATTATCGCGATAAACGATAATATTGTTTGAAATTTGACAATAGTTAGTAATTATTGTCAAATTTAAGAAGGAATGTTGGTTAATTAGTTTGGAGTGTAGTACCTTTTTTGACCACTGTATGACAGTATAAGACTGTTTGAACCAAAGGATGGATAATGAGGGAGCGAGCAGTGTCTCTAAGAAAAATGGGAGGGAGGTCCTTTGATGTGACATGGGTTGTCTCTCCTTCCTCTTTTTCCGGTTCTCAAAATGGCGGATGCTCGGTATGGTTTGAACTCTTTAGCATAGCATTTGTCACACAAAGCTTTTAATAAAAAAAAAATCAGTAAACAAGTTCTCTGCTTCTTTTTGCAGAGATTAACAACTTTTTCCACAAAGGCACGGGTTTCAACCATGAATTTTGGAGCTTCGACAAGACAGTTTTTTTCCCCAAGGTTAGCCTGTTAGCTTAGCGCGTAGCTTAGCTTCTCAGCTTAGCTGCTTTTAGCGATCCAAAAACGGGATTTTGGACGGTTAAAATGGATTTTAAAGAGAAAGGGAGGGGTTAGTGAAGAGCACCGGAGTTGAGCTTTTTGTCATCCAGTGTCTTCAGTAGAAAGAGAGACACACGAAGAAACGATAAAGCCGATAAATGAAAATGAGGTAGCTCATTTTCATTCATCGTGCGATGAAGTGATATATTGTTTATCTCGACAGGCCTAGGTACACAACGCTCAAAAATCTGTCAAAATGAACTTGTTTCGCTTAATGCGCCTTATAATCCGGTGCGCCTTATAGTCCGAAAAATACGGTATCCCTTTAAAGCAGTCCTCTGCATTAAGCTTTAAGTTTAGCTCTCCTGGAAGGCTGCTTTGTTTTTAACACGTCACATGAACAGATTTCACAACTCACCCCCTCCCCCAAACACACACGTGCGCGCACGCAGACAAGCGATAAGTGTAGCTCCCACATGTTGACACGTGTTTGAGCACGTCCTTCAGTCTGTTTTGATTTTTTTTTTTAAACGACTCATTTAAAGGAAAGATTTCATTAGTTTGATCGACTGAAAGGTAATAAAACGCAGCAAAGAGAAACAAAAACCAGAGAAAATGAAAAGTACCAAGAAAAAACAAAACATTAATTTACCCAGAAAAGAAACACGTAACAAAGAAAATCAAATCAATAGAAAAGAAGTCAGCATTTCTGCTCAAAATGGATGGCATCTAGTTTTTGCTTCTGCGTCTTTGATTTTAACCCTCGTCTGTCCATCAACTTTATAAACGCCTGCTTCTGACGTTTTGTTGCCCCCCACTAGAAAACAAACCAGTCCTTCGGAACCTGAACCAGACCTCCGGAAAACCTCCGGTAATTTTGCTTCTGTTTGTTGCTATCTTACATCTTCTTCATTTTAATTATTTTAATCCACCATGTGCAGCACAAATCATATCATAACATTAAAACCTTCCATTGGTTCTGGTCTTTATGACAAAGCTAC